CACCAAATACTAACTTTTTTATTGAAACTATTTTATTAAAAAATTGTAAATTTTAAAAGTTTTAGTAAATATTTCAGCTTTATTGAAATAAATAATAATCCAGTTGTTTCTAAACTTTTGCACAGAAGCTATTTCGAAAAAACAATAAAAACTAATTGACAGGTGAGTTTTAAAAATTTTGTGAAATGGATTTTGAATTGTAATAATATAGAGCACATTTTGCAAAAATTTCAGGTTATTTAAAAAAGTTTGTGAAAAGTTATGCGTTAAAAACTGAAAAAAAGTATGCGTTTCTAAACCTTTGCACAATACTGTATGTCAAAATGGAGCCACCAACTAACATGTGATACTTAAAAATCTGGACAAAAGTTCGGTCGACATAAATTGTTTAAGAAATGTTGCAAAATTGTTGCAACTTATGCTATGTTGTAGTAAATTTAATTTTCTACAAATTGCATTATATCTTTTAGCAAACAATTATTTATAATGGTAAAGAAAATTATCTCAAAACAGAAAGACCTCAGAAAGCATGTGTACGCGTTATTTGATTTGCATCCGGATATGAAAAAAAGTGAGATTGTGAGACACTTCATGATCGAAGGCGCATCAAGGTCGACCCTATATAATATTCTGCAGTGCAAGACGCTTAAAATAGGCCCTGAAAGACAGGGTGGAACTGGATGGGTGGCAATCAAGATGAACAAAAAGTGAATCATCATGCTGAAAAAGTGAATTGATCATAGTGACGGAGTTAGCCAGCGTCAGCTAGCCCATGAGTATGGTGTCAGCCAAAAGCACATATAAAAAACAATTAGCACTAAGACAACAATCAAATACAAAAAGAAGAAAAAAGTTCCAGATCCAAATCCGCAACAGAAGTCAGCCGTTCGTCCGTAGTGTGCCCACCTGGCCAGAGTTTTCTGGAAAAAGAAGGTGATAATCGACAAAAAGTCCAATTTTTCGTTGAGCAATAACAAGCTATCTAGAAACGCTGGTTTCTACACGTCTGACATCGAAATGACTCCAAAAGCTGTTAAACTCAAGCACAAGTCCAAGTTTGAGCCAAAGGTACTTGTTTGGATTACTATGTCTGAGGACGGCCTGTTGAACCGCCAGGTGACATCTTCGGGCCAAGCGATCAATCAAGATGTCTACATCCAGAAATGCTTGATGAAGCGCTTGATTCAGTTCATCGAAACAGTTCATAAGAATGACGAGATCGTTTTCTGGCCTGACCTCTCTATGTCTTATTACGCAAAGAAGACGCAGGAGTTCCTCCAAGTGAATAACATTGAACTCGTGCCTAAAGAGCGCAACCCTGCCAATGTGCCAGAACTCCAACAAATCGAAGACTTTTGGTCAGAACTCAAGCGAAGAGTATTTGTTCGTGGCTGGAGAGTAAAAATCGTGGGCCAGCTCACTGACAGGATCAACTACTGCATAAAACGGATCAGTCAAGATTGCATACATCGACTTGGCAAGGCTTCTTTCAGCCGAGTGGACAAAGTTCACAGACATGGCACGATAAACTTATAATTTTTTTAAATCTGAAGCTTCATATGCTTAACTTTAATTATCTTTTTACAAAAATAAGATTGCACCTTTAGTCTCAAAGTTATAAGTTTTTTAGTGTTGTCCAGATTTCTAGGTATCACATGTTACAAAAGAATTTTCTGATGAAAATACTTACACAATTATAATATAAAGCTTAATATTCAAGTCCTCCCCTCACATTCCCAGAGCGTTAAGAGATTTGTCAAATTAGTTTCTGAAGCTCCCAACACCGTATATGGATTTAAAGCCAGGCATAAATCTATACTAACAAAACTACTTAGCAGAAAAATGCATCAATAGTAAAGGACAATATTCTCAGTCGAACAGAGACTTGTCTGCTTAACTTGCTTGTTACATTCTTGAAATAATTTTTTTTTATTTTAATATTACTTTTTAAATAACTTATTAAACTAATAATGATTATTTTTTTGTTCATGTTTTATTTATTGGATTTTATTGAGCGTTTAATTAGATAATCTATGTAACACAACAAGTAAAAAGTTTATACTTAAATATAAATTGGACTTGTGTTTTGCTTAATAAAACAAAACAATAAACTGTATTAATAATTTTAAATACAAATATTATTCCTTGGTGTGTCAAATATTTTTTAATTAAAAATTTGTCTGAACGTATTGAAACATCTAAAACGACAAGCAAAAAGTTAATATTTTTATAGCAAATGTTAATGAGGGTACGTTTAAATTTTGATCACTAATCTGCAAGCCGCCGTTTGACTAAACACCTTTAACAATTTATTTTTTTTGTTTTATATATATAAACAGACCTTTCAGTATATTTGTCATTACGAATTAAAAAAAAAAGTGAAAAATTGACCTACCCTAATATATATATATATATATATTTCTATATGATACAAATGCAATAAATGATAATACAAAACAAATGCAATACAAATATTTACTAATATTGTAGTCTTGATCTTAACATTATTTAAAACTACTTTAAAAATCTCTCTTAAAAACCATTTCAAATCCAGTGCCATTAACTATCAGTAAAGTATTGGAATTTCTTAACATATGGTAAAAAAAAAAAAGAAAAAAGAAAGAAATTTAATGCAATATAAGGCATGCTATCGGAAAAATCTGCCCACCTTTTGCGGTGTGGTAAAGCTAGTTAATGGTCGTTTTTTGAAATTATTTTTTTGAGTGTGGTAGTGTTTGTATAATGTAACATTTTGGCAGAAAAAAATAATTCAAAATATTATTTAGTTTCAAAATGTCAACCAAGAAAACTAAACAAAGATTTTTGATTGTGGACAAACACTTAAAAAAGCCAATTTTATCGAATAGAAAGTTGGCAAAATCATTAAAAATATCAAGAAGAACTGTAGATACTGTTCTTAAATGGTTTACAGAACAGAAAACTATTCAGAGAAAACAAGGAAGTGGTTGAAAAAAAACGCACAGCAAATCCTAGAGCTCTCGAACGGTTGGAGACTTCATTGGAAGAACATCCTGATTGGTCTGATAGTTTTCAATTTTTTTGAACACAAATGGCGACAGAGACTTGGATATCAAAGTTTTAAAGTAGTTAAAATGCCAAACCGCAAAGATAAACAAAATCCAACCGCAAAGAGTCGAACTCGAAAGTTGTATGACAACTTGTTAACAAAACATAATAGATGCATTTTGATGGATGATGAAACTTATGTTAAAATGGATTTTAAACAAATTCCTGGGCAGTGCTACTATGCTTCTAAAATAAGAGAAAAAGTGAGTGATAAATACAAGTATGTAATGACTGATAAATTTTCGAAAAAATTGATGATTTGGCAGGCACTTTGCTTTTGTGGCAAAAAATTGCCAATCGGGCACAATGAAATCTTCGGAATACGTGAAATGTTTTCTTTCTCGTATCAAACAACTAATTAAAGCTCATAGAAGTACTTCAGTATTGTTTTGGCCTGATTTAGCCACAATACATTACTCAAAAGATGCTCAAAAGTTTTACGATGATAATGGAGTGATATTGGTTGTGAAGTGATCCGAAAAAGATGAATCCTCCAAACTGCCCCGAATTACGTTCTATTGAAAAATATTGGGCAATCATAAAAAAGAAACTGAAATTAAGTGGAAAAACAGTAAAATCAGCTACAGATTCGAAGAAAAAATGGGATTACGCTGCTAAAACTTACAAAAATCACTCTGTCCAGAAACTTATGGGAGGCATCAAAAAGAAAGTCAGAATTTTCTGTAAAACTTAATTTATTTTTATTTTTTCCCTATTAATATGTAATCTTAACAGTCTTAATTTTTCAGAAATATATTGATTTAAATACATTTAAGCTTTCTTACACCCTTTTTTGATCAAGAAAGGTGGGCAGATTTTTCTGATAGCATGCCTTAATTAAAAGTTTTTGATAAATTGTGACTTTAATTAAGTAATAAAATAAAAGAAAATTTTTGTTTTCTCTTTCTTTCTCTTATTTTATCTGTAGAGTTTTCTGTTTCCTTAAAAATGTCTGTGATATAAAATGTCTTTGATATAAAAAAAGTTTAAGAGCAAATAAGCTAGTTTTATCAGTAATATGTCATATGAAGATGACTTGAAGTAATGGAGATTACTGAAGGAAAGAAATTTAAATCAACTTTAAACTTAGGTACAAATCGGAAGTATAAAAAAACTAACATTTTTAATAGCTCAAAATTAAACACAAAGCCACTGTTACATGATACAAAAGCATTAACAAATCTGTAATTTAGAAATTTACTACAACTACTACTACGAAAACCATTCTTAACAACAACTACAGCAACCAATTACAACTAATTAATTAAAGTAACAATTACAGCTACAACAATTACTACTACAGTAACTGTTCTTGCAAAAACAACACTACATGTAATAATAATAATTTTTTACTACAATAACTACTACCACATCTACAAATGCTGCAACAACTACAACAACAACTACTGTTTTTTTTACTGCAATTTTTTTAAAAATTTAAAAAATTTTTATAAATATTTTTGTACATAAGTTTTAATGCTATAACTAAATATTTCGAGATGCTGAATGAAAACCTTAATTAGCATCTATATAACATTGAAAACTTTATAATTAAATCAGTTTAATATTTTTTATTTATCAAGGTTCTAAGTTTCAAACACTTTTATAAGTTAGTCTATGATGAAATTTTCAGTTGTGAAAATGTTTTTTTTTTTAAATTTCTGAATATTGAGCTGGGAGTTTATTTAGTTTCAGTTTTGTTATGTAATTAATAAATCTCAATAAATTAAGTCACATACGTGACATCTATCTATATGACATCAGCTGACATGTCAATTGAATGATTTATTCATGTAACAAGAAAAAATTAATAAATTGAAAAAAAACATTTTCTAAAAAATGAAAAAAAAATTTAAGTGAAAGATTTATCATTATAAAAAAAATCATAAAAAAATAATAATAATAAAATTAACCAAAATAGTAATTCCTTGTTCTTTAAAAAACATTGAAACTGCACAAAGTATAATACTCATTAAAAAGTATTTCCAGGTTCCATTATCTAAATTATTAAACACTAATACCTTAAATATTTTAACAAACAACACATACCTAAACCACTTATAATTTTTAAAAATTTTTAAATTAACACAAAATTTTCAAAGATATACAAGTTAACAAAAGTAAATGACATGGGAGTTACAAAATACTGAGCAAGTTAAAAGTAAAATGACATGGGAGTTACAAAATATTGAGCAAGTTAAAAGTAAAATGACATGGGAGTTACAAAATACTGAGCAAGTTAAAAGTAAAATGACATGGGAGTTACAAAATACTGAGCAAGCAAACAAAAAAGTTGATGACAAAAAGATTATTCAAAAGACTATAAATAAAGAAAACTTGTAAACAAGTTTTGTAATGATTTGTAAAATAAGTGAAATTTTAACATATTAAATTCTTTGAAACCAATAGTCACTACAATCAAGAAGAATATAGGTTCAAACTATTATCTCTAGCATAAAAAGCTCTTTACTACTACACTACTACTAAAATGTAGTAAAATACAATGTTGTTAAATGAATGTAAATGCTGATGTAGTAAAATATATATGTAGTATGATATATCAGCAATTACATTCATTTGTTAACATTGCATTTATTAATTAACATTTTATTCATTCATTAACATTTTTTTCACTGTACAGCATTAATTAAGAAATGGACTAAAAAAACAAAATAATTTCTTTTTTTTTAAATTAACTTAGGAATGCTTTTGTATAATACTAATATTCTTACATCTTCATAAATGATGACAAACTCAAGTAGCTATTTTATTAAGATTTGACCTGCTTAAAAAAAAATTTCCTTGCAAAATAAGATAAAAAAAAAAATTTTCTTCCATGATAGTAAGACAATTATTTCCTCCAATCAACATTTTGTTTAATTGGGGGATTCGCACATGGAATGAATTTGATATAACTTTAAAAGTTAATTTAGAAACAAGGCCGGCGCAATAGGGGGGTGCGAGAGGGAGGGGTCACCCCTCCCCCCCCACATCAATGATTTTTAGTTGGCAAATTGGACTCTTTTAGACTAGTTAGTCGGCAAATGTTGACCCTTTCGATATAGGTTAGTTGGTAATCTAGACAGTCGTCAAATATCCTCATGGCAGTCCGCAAATTTTGGAAAATGAGGATCTTTTTTTTTTTATAAAATCAGCAAAAGTTATAATGGCACCCACACGTGACACCTACTCGCGCCGGCCCTGTTTAGAAACCAAGAACAAGAAGACAAAAGGAACCTGTCTTAGTTTTTCTTAAGATCAGAGATAAAGATTTTTTGTTACATATAAATTATATATATATACATATATAATATATATATATATATTTATATGATATATATATATATATATTTATATTATATATATTTATATAATATTTATTTATTTATACTATTATATGTATAAAAAAAAAATTCCCTGCCTTTAGGCTCTTGGTTAAGATAGTGTCTCGATAAAATATACAACACGCATCTTGGGCAGATGTTAACTGCATCTAGCTAAAATTACCCTGCCTTGGGGCTTTTGGTTAAGTAAAGGCTAGAGGTAGTGTCTCAATAAAATACTCATCTTGTGCAGATGCTGCATTGAGCTACTGTCTTGTAGAAGGCCTCCTAGGCAAAGACTTTTAGGGTAAGCAGAATAATTCTGCAAACCAGCCTCGAACCCCTTCTTCATCTATTAAGCTGGCGTAGATGTAAACCTGCTATATTGTTTCGTGCCTAGAATGATGAATGCTGGATCATCTTGACTCTTCTTATAGGTTTTTGTGCCTCCTTGATAGTGGCTATGCAACTCTTCCAGTTATCTCCTGATGAAAGTACAGCTCTAAAACTCAGATTAATGGTTGAGGCCATCTGGTAGTAAGGTTTTTACAAACTCTGTGGTAGTTCTCAGAGAGGCTGATTTTATCAATAGCAAAATATCAGAGTATTAACAGTGCCATGTTGCGCATCGATGGTTTTTGTGTTAATGCTTTTAGTGTGCATTGTTAAGGCCACATAAGGAGACCTGTTACAACTTAGGGTTAATTAACAGGACTGAGAAAATTGCATAGCTCATTGCTTAAGAGGCAATGTTCTATCTTTGAATGAGCCAAGTTTTCTTTTAACTTAAATCATGCCAAAAAAATAGATCATCCTGATCATATTTTTAAAAAATCCAGAAAAATGTTTGAGTAAAAATATCTGGAAAAGATCTGGAATATGTTTTTCCTTATTTTCCTTTTAATTTTGCTTTTAACTTGTTGTTTCTAACTTATTTTCAAATCTTTTTTTTATTTTTCACATTTTCTCTCGCTCTTCTCTTGCTCTATGGCTGACTTACTAAAATTGCTGTTAATTGACTAAAAGATTTTATCGTGCATTAGATGGAGGTAGATTTTTTGCTAATTGCTGTGACTAAAAGATTTTTATCATGAATTAGATGCTAGGGCTACTCCTAAGTCCTTCATGCAAAGGTAGGAGGGGTGTATTTTAGTCCAGATCTAATAAATGGGGGTGGAGGAGGGGGTGAAAGGGGTAAGGTAAGATAGCATTTCTGTCATAGTCTTACAAAATTATTCTCCAGAACTTTCTTTAATTCTCTCTAAACTATTTAACAAGTGCTTTACTGAGTCTTGTTTTCCTGCCTGCTGTAAAATGACATATGTTGTTCTAATTTGAAAAAATTTAAGTGAACATTCTGACCCTTCCAATTATCATTCGATCACTATTCTTTCTGTTATTAACAAGGTTTTTGAGTCTTTGATTAACAAATTCTTTTACATCCCATCATAAATCCAACAATTTACTGAAAGACAATTAATACGGTTTCCAATCCTCTCGCTCTACAGCTGACTTGCTAATTGATGTGACTGAAAAATTTTATTTTTATTATTGGCATTCAATATTTTTTATTTGAAGTAGATTTGTTTCGATATTATTGCTAAAAACCTCAATGATTTTATGTATATGTTTACATCATGCATCATATCATCTGAAATAATACAATAAGATTTGTGCGTATGATCATCTTTTTGGAATAAACAATCGCAAGATAAAGTTTTGTAAATTAAATTGAAGCTTAGTACTTCTTTCTGAATAACTAATACATCAATATTATCTGTTAAGTCAACCAGACAACCGTACAAAATCAATTTAGATGAGCAAAAAAAATCAAGGAAATAGTGTGAATCAAACCATAAATAAGCAATTTTTTTAAGAAGATATTAGAAAAAATAAAAGAAAAAAAGGAAGGTTTATATATGCATGCCAAACTTTATTAAAAACCTCAAAGATGATAAAAGCAAAGATGATAATAGCAAAGATGATATTAGCAAAGATGATATTAGCAAAGATGATGTATCATCTTTGCTAATATCATCTTTGTGAGATGATATAATGCAACTCCAGATGTAGTTGCATTATAACCAACCTCATTTTTCCTAAATCTTAGGGCAGTATATATATATATATATTCCATCTTCGAGTTTTCCTGACTCATACAAACTTCAACTTTTCAAGTCTTCTGTTAACAATTTCCTTGCACGATAACTCTATTCTTTTTTTCTAGTAACTCCAAACTTAATAATGGTTGCTTGCGGCCTTGTTGGGAGTGAATCAGAATTATATATATAACCCTCAGAATTAGGGTCAGCATTTAACAATGCTGACCTTACTGCTAACCTAGAGCTGTTAGAGGTAGGCAAAAAATGGCTGACCTCATTTCTATGTTTTATGGTAAAACCTTGGTATTATCATTTATTTTTTTTGCCAACCTGATGTCGAATTGCAAAAGATTGAAAGACATCTGGAAGAATTTTCTCCAGATGTAGTTACATCTGAAAAAAATCCTATATGTAACGACAACTGGTTAAAATAAGCCATTATTAGTATTTTCAGATGTAATTACAACTGAAAAAAATTCAAAGTGTAATTACATATGGTTAAAATTATTACAATTGGTTAAAATGCATTATTAGTTAATTTTTTTTCAGATGTAATTACTTCTGAAAAAATCCTATATGTAACTACATCTAGTTAAAAACAAATAATTAGTTGTTTTTTTTTCCAGATGTAATTACATCAGCTTATAATTAATAGTGCAGTTGCCATTTACTTTACATGTGTAAAGTAAACGAAAAATAAGTTTATCTAGCGAATAAAAAAATAAGTTTATCGTAAACACTTGCTTTTACTTTACTTTGCTAGAAAATACTTTGCAATTAACTTTGTTTAATAAATTTAGATACCGAATAAAATTAAAAAAATTTCAACAAGAAGTATGCAAAGTTTTTCTCTTGTTCTTGGACTTATCTTTAATTTGGAAATTTTTATTAAATAAGATTTTGCTTAGTAGTCATGGAAAAAGTTAATATGAACACATCAAAGAACTTGAATAAATATTCTTTGATGCAATAATTCTTGCAAATACAGTTTTAAAAAATTTATTTATATTTGTTTAACAGAAAAGAAAGTATTATGAGTTTGGAGAAAGATAAAATGATGGATTAACTTATGACTGTTACATTTTTAATCAAGTTTTTAGAGTTGATAAAACTATTAAATAAAATAATATTAATTAATAAATAATATTAAACTTAAGTGTAACTGTGGTAAATTATTACAATCGGCTTCAGAAATACCTTCAATTTGAAGTATTGAAAAATATTTTATAAAAATATATTTTTGCACTCAAAAGATATGACCATATAAAGTTTAGTAACTTCTCATTTGTTGAAGTTTTTAAAAAGTTAGAAAAAAATTCAAAAATATAAAAAATAACTGGTAACTAGAGTATAAGTATAAATAATTATTTCTAATTAATCAGATAATTTTAATTGCATTAGAAAATCAATTTTTTTTTTTGGAAAACTATAAACAAAATATTAGAACAAGAGTTAACAAGATAAATAATGGATGTTTAAATTGCCGGCATGTAGGCTTTACACTTTTACAACCGGCAGCCAGGCATACAGACACTGCATATTTTTATATGCATTGTTATTGCTAATACATATTT